ACATATTGTTTGGAATTACAGAAGCTCTTTTCTCCCCCCTTCTTTTCACTTCTCTACAGATAACATATGATAAGCAAGGATCAAAAAAGAGTTCATCAGTCCCTACCAAATGTAAACCTAAATATGTACACTTAACCAAGCACTGTGGGGGTTTTTATTCCACTATCTGTATTTTTTAATTTTCTGTAAGTTATATTTGTTTCTTGCTCAAATATGCATGTCCCTGCTTCACACTTTCCCTTCATCATAATGGTTTCTTTTCCTTCTTTTATCTTTTAAACAAACCAATTTTACAATTTCAGAATATTCTACTGTCTCTAGTTCTTTGGGTCTTGATTCCCTATTTGTTGTGAATGTTGATTCCGCCCCCCCCCCCTTCCACGGAAGCTCCTTCTTTTTTGCTATTTATGCCATTTTATTGTGAGTTGATCAATATTATGGATTACTGATTTATTAACATGGGGGTTTTCTTTGTCCTGAGCTGTGAGACAATCCCTCAGAGTAGTTTTGCATACTCCAGCAATAATGTGTGGAGTTTCTCCAGTCTGTGAAACTGAAAACTGAAGAAAACCTCATTTAAAATGGAGTGGGCAGGCCAGAAGGGAAGTTCTCGTGCCCTACCACTGGTCAACTGCAGACCCCAGCATGAAGAGCAGTATTTTGCTTTCGCTACAGGAAGAAACCTACTTTATGATTCCAGCAGCAGAAAGGAAGAATTTCTCCTTGGCCAGCAATAAGCTCAGCCAATAATACCACAACTCACCCAATGAGAAACTGTTACCACCCTAAACTCTTGCTTTCCTCCAACAAACTTTTGTTGAAAGCAGCCCCTCCCATTTTCCTCTTTTTCTCTATAATGTTCCTTTCCTTTGATCTTGGAACTTGCTTATGTTTTGCCATAGTTTGCATGTCCCAAATTGCAATTCCTCTGCTATTGCTGAATAAACTGATTTTGCTAGTAAAATAACTGGCTTTTTTACTTTTAAGGTCAACAAGTCTAACACCACTTTTATGTCAATTTCTAGATATCATGTGAAGATACACTTGAATCTCTACCCCATCTGTGCTGCAGGCTTGGATTTCAGTTCCACATGAGTTGGCTTTTTCCCACTCTCAGAGCTCTGGAAAATCAGTGTATCAATCCCCTGCCCCCTTACCTCCTCCCTGACCTCTACCTCATTCTAAAGCATCTAAACTACCCTTGGGCAAGTTCAATAGTATTTCTGAAGCACATTTCTTTACCTACTTACCTTAAAAAGTTTACAAATCAATAAAGAATACAGGGTGAAAAAACATAAAGAACACAGGAGTGAGATTCTGTCAATTTGTAAGAGTCATATAAGTTGATTCCCCTTCTTAGAAGGCATCCCACAGGCCCCTTTACTTTCTCATGCCCTTCTATAAGTCACCTGTTCTGCCTAAAAGTTGAGGAACAGAATCTTAATCTTCTTCAAAGAATTTCTCAAACATTTTTCCCTCCCAGATTTTGACCAAATCAGAGACTAACTAATGTTGGCCATCTGATACTGTCTTATGAACACTTCAAAAAACATACTTTCCCAAATTGAAGCCACCCTCCTGTTAAAGTGTACTTTATCTGACTAGTTTAGAAAAGCCATACTGGTCATCTAAGCAGTAACCTAAAGAGGAAAGGTGTGGGAAGTAGAAAGTCTGAAAGGCACTGTCACTCAACTGCTAATTAATACAGGCCTTATGGTTAGCCCCAAGTGCAGTCCCTGTGATATCTCTTTTTATCTCTTTGAAGTTCACTGCAGCTCTACACATATTCTAATAGCTGACTAGAATGGAAGTGGGCAACCTATCTCTGGTGGCTCACAGCCTCATTAAGTAACAGCACAACTGACATCACACATAGCCCAGAGCCTCTCAACAACTACCAACTACTGCTCTAGCCCTTGAGAAGCTCCTGAAAGCTGCAGCTCCCAGATAGCAGAGGGAACACAGAAATTAAGGAAGCACAGTCACTTCTTTCTTTTCACTATACTGATAAACAGATAATGAGAATCTAGATCTTAATTCCACGCCAAGAGATTCTTCCACCATTCACATGTTCTCCTGTACCCCATCCAACATTCTAAGCCTTGCCACTGATTCAAAATCCCTGCAAAAGCTATAGTTTGCAAATAATCTTGACTTGTTTCCCCTAGAACCTCGTACCAACAACTCATGTTAAGTTGCTGCTCAATGGCAAAGTCTAAACCTTCTCTCCCTGTAGCAGTGACATTTTCCTTGGGCCTCACAGAGGATCACGAACCACGGGACCTTACCTGATCTGATTATGTCATTGCTAGGGTACCACCTGTCAGGTGATGCCTCCTGAGTATTACTGGGGATGCATCCATTTCTCCAGCACGCTGCTTCTGGAGCACCTAGGTTAAGTTACTTATTTTTTTTTTCAACGTTTATTTATTTTTGGGACAGAGAGAGACAGAGCATGAACGGGGAAGGGGCAGAGAGAGAGGGAGACACAGAATCGGAAACAGACTCCAGGCTCTGAGCCATCAGCCCAGAGCCTGACGCGGGGCTCGAACTCACGGACCGTGAGATCGTGACCTGGCTGAAGTCGGACACTTAACCGACTGCGCCACCCAGGTGCCCCGGTTAAGTCACTTATTTAATTTACTTTTTTTCTTTTTTAATGGAAAAAAAAAAACCTTTTGGGAAGAGATATGTCTATCAATCAAATTCAAATAGAAACACTGTCCTATTCTCTCTACTACCTTAACTCTACAGTCGTCTGAATTTGGGCAGTGTTTTGATGACAAATGACTAGTCTATGTAAAGAAACTTCAACAGTGTTTTTGAAATGAAAAAAAAATATGCTATAATTTCTTTGTAAAGATATGAAAAGAATACTTTCCAAGTCAATATAAACTTGCATTTTACAACCCTCCTATTGTAACCGATAGCTTCTGCTGCTCTGTTCCAATTTCCAGATCAATTCATCTTGATTTGCCACTTCCTCTCTGCACACCTGGATAAAATGCAAACTCTATCCTGCCTTAGGCCCAAATGATTTTGCCCCCCATTTAAACGATTATCTTTCTAAATTTAAAACCAACCAGGCTAATCTCCTTCCTGTCCATGAAACAATTTTTATTTTCTGCCACCATACCTTTGGTTCATTCCATTCCCTCAATCTGAAATGCCCTCCCCTAAAACCTTACTAATCAGAACACTAGTCATTCTTTATGAAAAAGTTCAACTTCTAACTCTCCATGAAGTCACAGCTGAAAATGATCATTCCCCCCTACCAATCACTTACAGATATGTTTCTCTCTGACCAAAGAATAAGCTCCTAAAGGGAAAGAACTATGTCTTTACTTCTTTGCACCCTCACAGTGCCCAGTACAGATAACTACACATAACTGTTATTTAAACATATTTACTCAATTAATACATGCATACTTTCACATCTGCAGAATAACATCACACCAGACACAAATAATACTAACTGTTTTTACCAAGGCAAATAAAAACAGGTTTAAAATGTCATTTTGATTTGACTCAGGTATACAGAGAAAACTACTCAAAACCTACGAGTAAGGAATAACCAAACTCACCCACCAAGTCAGAGAACTATGCAGATATTTGATACTATCTCTACATAGTAAAGTAAAAATACTTTTTCTGAAAGAAAAATAAAAAAAACACCTCTAATCAGCACAAAATCACAATGTGACATGCAAAGGCTATGCCAAGGAGTTTTAAATAGTCTTGGGTAAATCAGTATACCCTGTCTCAGAAATAATGAATAGATGAGTAAGTGCCCTAAAACTCAAGCCCAGAATAGTTAGGTATTTACGCTGAATGATAAATAACAAATTGGGGCACTATAATAAAAGCAGAATGATTTTTGGGGCACCTGGGTGGCTCAGTCAGTTAAGCATCCAACTTCAACTCAGGTCATGATCTCACAATTCATGAGTTCTGGTCCCATGAGCTGTCAGCACAGAGCCTGGAGCCTCCTTCAGATTCTGTGTCTGTCCCTCCCCTGCTCATGCTCTGTCTCTCAAAAATAAATAAACATTAAAAAAAATTTTTTTAAAGCAGAATGATTTTTAAAAAATAACCTAGCTGTTTTATTCTTCATCAAGAGTCCTCAACTATTGCTATATCTAATAAATATGCACCATTAGGTAAAAGAAATTATTACATGGTTGCATATACACTGCATTCTTGCTATCCCCAAATATTATGGGGGTCCATTACCTAATCTTATCTAACATGTAAGTCAAAAATGCAGGTATTATTTGATTTTTTCAACTGAAAAACAGCTACATTAGGTCAGATACCTTGACTAACCAAAACAAAAATCAGTGTCAGACAGTGATAGAATTGAGGAAAGTCATGACTATACTTCTAAATGTCAACTTCAAATATGGTATGATGATGATAATGATTACAATAAACAATAACATTAGCAAACACTTTTATAACACTCGTTACATGCCAAACGTGGCTCTGAGATCTTTACATTCGTCAATTTACTTAAAACCCCCAAAAGAATTCTGAGACATGTATACTATCTTATTTACAACATGTATAGTCCCATTTTATAGATGAAAACACTGAGGCACAAGCAGATTAGATAACTTACTCAAGGTCATACATCTCATAAGTTACAAGGCCAGGATTCAAACTTCGGAAGTCTAGCTCCACACCCAGGCTCCTAACCAAATGCAATATCCCTTTCTTAGCTAATTCCCAAGACAACTCATATCCCCTTTATCATGTACTGATTGAGTACTTCTCCACCTTCATTACTGCCTTCCTACCTTTTTGAAACTTGTTCACTTTATTCATCAAAACAATCTTTCTAAGATATAAAAGTTAAAAATGCAGGATGTGATTCTTGTAGTTTGTTCTGGGTAATTTCAGATCAGTTCTTGGTTGAAGAAATCTCAGCTTTTAACATCTGAAATCTCTGTAGCACTTCATATCTGTTACCTAAAGGAAGAGGGTAGGGAAACACTTACTAGTATCTGGAGGTTTCTCTTTAGATATGCCAAATAAAAATTCATATTTGGCCTTGGCAACACTCTGGGAATGAGACGATGCATTGTTAACCCAAACAAATGTCTCTGCCTGCAAAATTAAAACAAAAAAAAAGTTATCATTAAAAACATATAAAAAATACATCATAAAACAAACCAACCACAAGAGAATAGTTAAGCAATAATGAAATATCTTCTTGACAGAATGCTACATGGCCATTAAAAATGAAACATAAAAAATATAATACAACAAAAATCAAAATACAAAATCATCACTGAAAGATTACAATTGTATAGAAAAATAAACATACATCTATAGGGGAATAAGAAATTTATGAAAACTTTGGCTTGATGGAGGGGGCAGAATTATGGCACAATACTTGTTTAAAAAAATTTGTTTAATGTTTATTTATTTTTGAGAGAGAGACAGAGTGCAAGCAGGGGAGGGGCAGAGAGAGAAGGAGACACAGAATCCAAACAGGCTCCCAGCTCTGAGCTGTCAACACAGAGCCCAATGCAGGGCTTGAACTCACAAACCCCAAGATCATGACCTGAGCCAAAGTTGTACACTTAACCAACCAGGCGCCCCTATTTTTTTAAATTGAAGTACAGTTGACATACAACATTATATTAGTTTCAGGTATACAACATAGTGATACAAAACTCTCACCCCGAAAATTATAGTTACCATCTGCTACCATACAAAGTTATTACAATATGATTGACTATATTCCCTATACTATACTATTCATCCCCATGACTTACTTTATAATTAAGTTTGTACCTTAAGTTTGTATAATTAAGTTTGTACCTCTTAATCCCTTTCACCTATTTAGCCCATCCTCCCACCCTCCAACCCCCTAGCAACCACCAGTTTGTTCTCTGCATTTATGTTCTCTGCATTTATCTCTATTCTGGGTATGTTTTTGTTTGTTCGCTGGTTTTGTTTCTTTAGATTCTACTTATAAGTGAAATCATATGGTATTGTCTTTTTCCATCTGACTTATTTCACTTAGCAAAATACCCTCTAGGTGCCCACCCATAGTATCATAAAAGGCAAGCTTTCAGTCTTTTTTTATGGCTGAGTTTTATTCCATTTATACATACATACATAAATATACACACACACACACACGTGTGTATATATGTGTGTACACACATATATATGTATATGTACACACACACATATATGTATACCACATCACACCAATTCATTCATCTGTGGATGGGCACTTGGGTTGCTTCTGTATCTTGGATATTAGAAAAACACTGCAATACACATAGGAGTGCATACATCTTTTCAAATTAATGTTTTCTTTTTTTCTTCCAGAAGTAGAATTACTGGATCATATGATACTTCTATTTTTAATTTTTTGAGGAATTTCCATACTATTTTCCACATAGCTGTACCAATTTACATTCCCACCAATAGTGCATGAGGGTTCCCTTTTCTCCACATCCTAACAACTGTTATTTCTTGTCTTTTTGATAATAGTCATTAGCCATTCTATGTGAGGTGATATCTCACTGTGATTTTAATTTACATTTCTCTGATAATTAGGGATGTTGACCATCTTTTCACATGTCTCTTGCCATCTGTATGTCTTCTTTGGAAAAATGTCTATTCAGGTCCTCTAATTTTTAATCAATTATTTATGGTTTTGTTTGGAGTTGAGTTGTAGGAGTTCTTTATATATTTTGGATGTTAACCCCTTATCAGATATATCATTTGCAAATGTCCTCTCACATTCAAGTATGTTTTTTGTTTTGTTTTGTTGATGGTTTCTTTTGCTCTGCAGGAGCTCTTTAGTCTGATGTAGTCTGATGTAGTCCAAGAGTTTGTTTTTGCTTTGTTTCCCTTGCCTGAAGAGACAGATCCAGAAAAATACTGCTAAGGGTGATGTCCAAGAGTTGACTGCCTATGTTTTCATTTGAAGTTTCCTGATTCCAGGTATACAATTTTGTCCTTATTATTTTTATTTTAATTTTTTTTTTATTTTTATTTTAGAGAGAGAGAGAGAGGAGTACAAGCTAGGGAGGGGCACAGGGAGAGAGAATTTTAAACTCCACACTGAGCATGGAGCTTTGACACAGGCCTTGATCCCATGACCCTGGGATCATGACCTGAGCTGAAATCAAGAGTCAGATGCTCAACTGACTGAGCCACCCAGGCATCCCACATTTTGGTCTTTAATCTATTTTGAGTTTATTTTTGGTGCATGGTGTAAGAAAGTGGTCCGTTTTCACTTTTTTTGCATGCTGCTGTCTAACTCTTTACTAAAGATACTGTCTACTCCCAATGTATATTCTTGCCTTCTTTGTCATAGTTATTTACCATATAAGTATGGGGTTATTTCTTTTTTTTTTTAGTTTTTTTAAATGTTTTTATTTATTTTTGAGACAGAGAGAGACAGAGCATGAGCAGGGGAGGGGTAGAGAGAGAGGGAGACACAAAATCTGAAGCAGGCTCCAGACTCTGAGCTGTCAGCACAGAGCCCGATGCAGGGCTCGAACTCACACACCGCGAGATCATGACCTGAGTCGAAGTCGGATGCTCAACCGACTGAGCCACCCAGGCGCCCCTGTATGGGGTTATTTCTTGGCTATCTGTCCTGTTCAATTGATCTATGTGTCTATTTTTGTTGCCAGAACCATATTGTTTTGAGTACTATAGCTTTGCAGTATAGTTTGAAATGTGAGATTGTAATACTTACAACTTTGTGCTTCTTTCTCAAGAATACGTTGGCCATTCAGGGTCCTTTACAGTTCCATATAAATTTTACAACTGTTTGTTCTAGTTGTGGGAAAAATACTACTGTCATTTTGATAGGGATTGCACTGAATCTGTAGACTGTTTTGGATTAATATGTACATTTTAACATTAATTCTTCCAGTCCATAAACCTAGTATATCTTTCCACTTATTTGTGTCAGCTTCAAGTTCTTTCATCAATGTCTTACAGTTTTCAGAGTACAGGTCTTTCACCTTCTTGGTTAAATGTATTCCTAGGTATTTTACTCTTTTTGATACAGTTGTAAATGGGACTGTTTTCCTAATTTCTCTTTCTGCTAGTTCATTATTAGTATATAGAAATCCAACAGGTTTCTGTATATTAATTTTATATTCTGCAACTTTACCAAATTCATTTATCAGTTCTAATAGTTTTTTAGTGGACATTTTAATTTTTCTATATATAATATAATGTTATCTGCATATAGCAACAGTTTTATTTCTTCCTTACCAATGTGGATACCTTTTATTTCTTTCTCTTGACTAACTGCTGCAGCTAAGACTTCCAGCACTATGTTGAATAAAAGTGGCCAAGAGTTAACATCCTTGTCTTGTTCCTAGCCTTAGAGAAAAAGCTTTTAGCTTTTCACCATTGAGTATGATGTTATCTGTGGGTTGGCGGAATTTTTTAAATTAAACTTATGTTACTTTTCTGCAATTAGCAAAATGTATTTTATTTTTAGATGTGTCATGTTCCAAATGATTATCAATACCTATAGCACACAGCAGGAATATTTGTGTATGGGTTCTACTAAAATATGCTAACATAAAGAAGTCTTTCCCCAAAAAGACCTTATTTTTTATGTAATCAGAAACACCATTCAGCCAAACAGGGGGCACAGAGTTTAAGTGCCACTCATCCCATTTATACTAACTCTCCTAAATTTAAGCATCTGTCCCAGTGTTCTCTGAAATTCCATAAAGTCCCCTATTTGAAAGATAAGCTACAAAGGTGACTGTGAAAGTGGGTTCACATCATGATTCTAAATTCCTATGGCCTTCCTCCTGGCTGCTTTAGGCAACTGCCAAAACTCAGGAGTGCCTCCCTCCCTTCTCTGGCCTAGTATTAATTTAAAATAAGTAACAAGGTAGAAATTGTAAAACACGGAGAAATCTAGCCTAGTTCAATCAGGGAGCCATTCTTCTGCCACTTTACCCTGAACCCAAAAATCAACCAAAATCCAGACACTGCCCTCCCTGGTTTCTACCCTCTAATTAAGAGACATCTTCTTTTCTCATGTCTGAGCAGCAAACATAACCGTTCACTGTAGGAGACAGAAGCACAGAGTTTTATCAGCAACCAAACAGCTACTTCATAGAGGGAAATTTTATTCCCCTCTATTCTATTATATTCCTTGGAGCAGAAATGATTGACAGTAGTGAGAAGGCCCATGATGGGGTTATGATTAACTCCATCACCCTACTGCAAACCAGTTCAACAGGTAGGCCTCTCTTTGTTCTTTCCTACCAATATCAAAGAGCTAGTTTGTACAAGTTTGAGGAAACAATTTATTTCTTAAAATAGCTCTACAATCACTTAATGTTCAACTGTGTAAAATTTATCTTTTTGATAAAGGTGTATACTCCTCTTGGGAGTTATGTGCTTGATATTCACAAGCTGTTGATTAACCTTTTCCCCAGCAGAGAGGAAATATCAATGTTTTGATGTGTTTAGGGAGCTTCAGACTGGTAAAAGAGGAATGTGATGCCCTAGGTATCGTGGTAGAGCGGTTAAGGAAGGCTCTCTGAGTAACTAATACTTGTAGAGATGAGAAGGATGAGAGCCAGGGAAGAACAGACTCCCCCATCTAAGCAGAGAGAGGGTCATATAGCAGGAGGCCTTATAGCAGGAAAGGATTAGGCTACTCAAATGATTGAAAAGCCAACATGGCCACAGAATAGTGGGTAAATGGGAAACTTTAGAGACTGACCAAGAAAATAACACAGCAGAAAGTAAGGAGAGGAGACAGGAGCCAAACACACATGATGTGTAGGTCAAGGAAAGGTCTGATGAGAAGCCAGGGAAGGGTTTGAAATATATGGTGACTCACTAACCCATTTAAAAGATCATTCATTTAGGGGTGCCTGGGTGGCTCAGTTGGTTAAGTGTCCAACTCTTGAGTTGGGCTCAGGACATGATCTCACAGTTCGTGAGTATGAGACCTGTGTTAGGTTCCACACTGATAGTTTGGAGCCTGCTTAGAATTCTTGCTCTCTCTCTCTGACCCTCCCTGTCCATGCTCTCTCTCTCTCTCTCTCTCAAAGTATGTAAAATTTTTTTTTAAAAAGATCACCCATTTA